AACGCAATGGTAGACGAGCATCCGCGTACCGCACGAAGAAGAACCGGTTCTTCCAGTCATGGATGGAACTCGGTGCTCCGCTGAACAGCCTCCGTTTTGGACGAGCTGCAATGCTCAGGAAACCGTCAGAATTTTGGGGAGTGAGCCGGTAGAAGTAATGGAACAAGTCCAAGGTGGCGGTGACCCCACTGTCCCTGCAGCGGACTAGGAAGGCGGAGACGAACCGATAGGAGTTCGGCATGAGCTGTGCGGGGGCTATCTGATAACAACAGAAGAATTCCACGAAGAACGGATGAAGAGGGAAGCGCAGCCCAGCCTCGATGGAGTCCAGGAGCACCATAACCATCCCTGGACGTCTCCTCATCACGTGGGTTGCACCGCGCAGGCTGTATACGGACGGAGGGGGGAAGAACACCTTTAATTTGTTGAGGGCCACCTGCGAGAAGATCTGTTCATGACACAGGACGTTCTTGATCGGGCACAGATGCCTCTCCACGTCTATCTTCAGCCCAAGATCGAATATCTCAATGTCGGAGCCGTCCTGGGCTTCAACCCCAGAATCATACCCATCTGGACGCTCGTCCTCACCGGCGGATTCCCGTTCCCCGGCATCAGTTACAGGGTCCACCACATCGAGGGCCATATTCCCTTGCTCCCCCAGGTCAGCACCTTCTTCGCCAGGAACCACCACAGCAACCACGTCTTGGGCATCCCCGGCCTGGACCGTTCCCACGGTAGAGGCTGAGCCGGAACTCCCGGAAGTGCTAGTCTCACCCGAGGAGCGTGGACCAGAGTCAGAGGAGGAGCCCGAAGAAGAACCCGATGAACCCGAACCAGAACTCGACGAGATCTCCATCGAAACCATCTCGGCAAGAATTCAAGACAAAGAAAAGAAGCAGGGGGTGGAAATTACCTTAGCAAGGAGTTAGCCGAGCTTGAAAACCAGAAAAGACTTGAAGGACTGCAGGAGAGCGAAAATTGGGAACCCTAATTTAGGGGGGGAACCCGGCATTTATAGGAGAAGCACCGATGAAGAAACCAACGAGGGGCTGACACGTGGCAAGGAGCGTATTCCGGCCCACGCGCTGTGCGTGGGATGGGAACGTAATGATGACGCTTCCTCGGGAAAATGCGCCGCCGCAACATCAGCCGTCACCTCGTTCCCTGAACCGTCAACAGCTGTCAAGCACCATGACCACGAACGTATGCTTCCAACAGCTGTCAAGTACCAAGATACGGACGTCTACTTCGGAGAGGTTCATACTTCCTTATGTCCTGCGCATGCTCAGAACATCAGAAGTGGGGGACTTGTGTTGGGTTAAGGGCCCAAGCCGAGGTTCGGCCCACTAACCCATTTTGCTAGACGAACGTCCAGTTAGAACACTAGGCCAGCCCACAGGCCCATGTGCCACGGGGATGGACGAACGTCTAGTGTTGGAGGACTCAGGCCCAGCAGCTCATCCCGACGAACGTCTATGCAGGGACAAGGAGCAGGACCACGGGCCACCAGGAATGACGACGAACGTCCCCAGAGCAAGCCTGTAGTCATCGGAGAAAACCCTGTCCACATGGTGAGTATCCACCAAGGCCAGGAGACGAACAGCCGATATCTCCCAAGGGTCCCTTGGAGCAATCCAACTCACTTCCCGGTGGACGAACGTCCCCACTAATCCGGCGGGAAACCTAGATTCTGGCGGGAAGTGCATTTAATGCTAAAGATTTGGTAGTTGGGACACCAGCGGTCCACAGGCTGCCACGTCACTACAGCCACCTGCCCATTGGCGGGTATAAATAGAAGCATTTATTCCATTGTAAAGGGTTGGCAACTTTCTATTCTTAGCACCCTAGCTATAGCATTCTATTCGCAGCACTTCTACTGCCTTGTAAGACGAACGGCCGACGGAGCCTTAGCAAAAAGTATTGTATTAGGGAGTTATTAAGAGATAATAATACCTAATCATTTACTTGCTACTTATTTGTTTCTTGACCCTTATCATCTGTCTGTTGGGCTAGTTACTCATACGCACTCCACTCGAAATCTTTGGGCTTACGTGTTGGGCCTGAAGGTTGAAGGAATAAACCTCAACAAGATGAATGCAATGATTTAGTCCTACAATGAGTAGTTCCTCTAAATAATATAATAAGAAACAATTAAATAAATAATTGAGACAAATGTAATTCATCCAACAATGTATATTTCTACAATAATAAGGAGGTCTATGTATCCAAATTTATTTTTATTAATTAAAAAAATGAGAGAATGATCAACAATCTAGGCCTGTTTATGCTCAATTGTTATATTACACAACTCAATGAGTAGTAATGCTAATCGTTATACAATTGTTACACTCGTGTTACATGTGTTACGAGCATATATGCATTTGAGCCTTTCTTCTTAATAATTAATTTGTTTTTGTTTTTAGATTGTTAAAATTTGTTTACATATTTAAATATATAAATATATAAATATTTGTTTGTTTAATATTTGTTTTTTTACGTGTTAGCAGTTTAACGATGATACATAGTAATTGTTAAACATATTTTTATTTCGTAAATGCACCAATATGATACTATCGATTCTTATATCGGTTTTATTTAAAACAAAACGTAGCACCGAATCAATATTGGATTGATGATTCTTCAAATGGTTCCAAATTTTCTTTCAAGAACTAAACCGATCTCACCCTTACATTTTTCATCATAAGATGATACATAAAACACCTTTTTCAATTTCTTTTTAGTTTATCTCATGTATTAGTATTAATGTAGAATATCCTTGTTCGATTTTATTTATCGTAAAACGATAATAAATCAAATTTAATTTTCAAACCTTGCATATGGAGAACCCAATACTAGTCCAAGATCGGTAGCCGGTTTATAATTCTGGGTAAATAATTAGTCAAATATAGTATGATTCTGGAACTGGATCTACATGTACTTGTGACGAGTAGGGGACAAAAGAAAAAGTACATGGAAATCTTTGGTGATGAAAAGAGACAATTATAGAGAATTGATGTATTAAAAATGAGTTAAACATACACGAGAATCCGTGATTTTAAAAGTCCGTAAAAATTAATTGAAGCTTGAATATGCCTAGGCTTTTTTAGACTTTTAAGAGTCTATTGAATACACCTAGATCTTTTTAGACCTTTAAAAATCTATATTCAATACATCTAAACTCTTACAATCCATGAGTTTTTAAAATCTTACCACTAACTTTTTATACCATACACCCCTTTTAGATTATGAGAAGTCATTCCAGAGTACTTTGTCCGTTCATAAATAAACTTTTCACTTTCTTTTTATGGAAGTTCCTAAATAAAGTTCATTTTCCCTATTTGGTAAAAAATAACTTTAAATAGGAAAACAAATCTAACTAACTAAAAACAAAATAATTATTAAGAAGAAAGGCTTGAGTCCACGTATGCACGTAACACATGTAGCAGTGAGTGTAGCAATTATGTAACGATTAGTATTCTTACTCATTGAGTTGCGTAATAAATAGGAGTTAAAGTTTACTAGTAATTCACATGTGCGTTGCATAAATGTAAATAAACAGATAAATTTATGAACCCATACATAGAATTAAAGTTTAAGTTACATTAAGAAGTTTAATGAGCATAGAGCCTCTAAGATATCAATGAAATTTTTTCGGATTTTCTTTCTCATTGTATATCGCGAAGTTTAAATGAGACAATTTTGTCACCCATTAAACACAATAGTCATTTTACCAAAAATGTTACATATATACATATCATAAACTTGAAAAATGTTCCCCAAATAATTATTTAATAAGTTAATGGCATTAATAACAAATTGAATATTTCATAAAGTACTTCATTTTAGGAAGAAAACTTAACATAATATAAATTAATTTTTATTTATTTTTTTTGCCAAAAAAGTGTTCAAATAGTATTAATCAAATCGTGACACATAATGCACAAAATTGAATTGGGAGGAAACAAAAGCGAGACTTGATTGTCACCCAGAAAATGATCTCTCTCCATTTAAAATAGAGAATGTTCTTAAAATTCTGCATCAAACTTCCAATATCATTCACAATAAGCCCAAACTGTGAAGGATACCCTCCATTTAAAATAGCTGAAACAACCTGTACGCATTAGGGGTGGGCAAAGATACCGGAAAATCGGTATAACGCACTTACCGTACCGAAAAATGTCCGAAAATACCGGAATAATTGTATACCGTCATTTTTGGTACGGTATCATACCGTATCAATTTATTTCGGTATGATAATGGTAAATGTTTTCAAATATCGCAGTATATCGGTATAATACCGTACCGACTCCTTACCCAATAATTACTTTAAATTCTAAAATATTGTATATGTCCATTACAATTTTGAAGCCCAAAATCAATACTTAGGTTGGTTAGAAATACTAAAATACAAAAAGAAAGGTCCAATTTCACAAACCCACTATAACCTTCTAGGTTTCTACTACGTAACATTCAAACAAACTAACCCTAATGACTAATGAGTATTATACTAATGTCCAAAAACCAATCCATCTTATACACTTATGTGACAAATGTATCTACATAGAGATTCCACGATTCGAAGCACACAACTTTGTCCAAAAGTCTATTTCAATTGTTTTTAATTATAAAAATGATTAAATACACAATATCATATTATTGTGAGATAATACTAGTATAAGGGTATAATAGTCTCTTAGCCTTATTTTAGTCTTACGTTTGGAAACTTTAGAAAAGGGTCACTTTTTGTCCAAAACTCTTTTTAGTAATATTTTTTACATAACCCCTAATATAAAATCTAAAAATCAATTTGATAATACTTAAATTTGTTGAATCTGTTGAAGTTGATAAAATTATGACTAAATCACTTGAATTCAAAGAATGTACAAAACAAAACAAAATATATTTAAAATATCTACAAAGACTAAAACACATTTAAGTCAAAATTATATGAAAATAGCTAAACTGATCATTTATAACTTTATCCAATTCAGACACAAAAATAATTTCAACCTTACTTGTTTTGATATTAGACAATTTAGCGCACAGAATCAAAACTTAGGTGTTTGATAAAACATTAACTCATAAGACTGATAAACTAAAAATAGGGGTTATCAAACAGACTCTACCAACTAGAAAAAGGGTTATAAACCGTTATATATCATCAGAACTTCAGGTTTATATGTGAACAAAATGCTTCATGAAAAAATGAGCATATGCATTTTTATGCATAATAAGAATCACCAAAATGTACAACACTGTCACTGTTTCCGACCAGAGACAGTTCTCTTAACAGCTCCAACAGAGACTAAGAAGTCATCAAGTGATGACAAAGTCCTCATATCATCTGCAGGAAAATAGCTTGCTGCTCTACCCAACAATGATGTGAAAAAAATAGGGATAGATGGTGGCCTCGTAACACCAAGCAGCTTGTCTATAAACGCAAAAGCTGCTATCAAATCAGACCCGCTTGCATTTACTGGTGCGGAAAAATGAGCTGGGATTATTCTCTTGAACTTCCAGTCCCGCACTATGCCATCGACCCAATCCTTAACCTGGTTAGGCCACATAAGCAACACTGTAAATGAATAATCTGCACATATGCAGAAACATTAGGAGAGTATTTGCACCTAAACCAATTTTTAAAAACCTATCTCCACCCGACACCCCCAACCTAGTGCCAACATTAAAAGCATATTTGCACTTTTTAAATCTGAAAAAGGATGGGCGAAATACACCAGGGAGTTCTATTCACAGCAACAAAATTACTATATAGAGTATATACAACCACTCAAATAATTTTTAAATCACTCTTCCGCGACTAATATCACACGGTTTATCAGTCTAGACTTCCATAAACTCAACCACTGCCGGCCAACTAGGTTATTCCACAAACATACTTGATTTCGATGGCTGTTGTTGCTTGCATATATGGAGGAGAGTCCATTGTATTTATTGTTTAATTCTTTGTTCAAACTATTTGTCTGTACTCGGATTTGGAGTTGTGAGATGACAAGGTCTCCAATACTCCGTACTATATGCTAATCTAGGTATAATGAATGTGCGCACGCTTGTATGTAACAGACTTAAATTAACCATTTATGACAGCAAGGAAATTGCATTGAGTTTCAATTCTAACCATATTCTAGGACAATATAGATAGGGCTGTATTTAAACACAAGGGCAATATATAGATATTGCCAAAAAAGTTACTAAAATTGGTTTAGTGGTTCATAACTTCATATGTCCCACACATATGTCAGTGCATGTACCAATCCTAGAGACTAATTGGGCAAGTGTGGACCGCAATAAAATGGGTCGAGTGTTAAGTGTTCGGGTTTTAGTTTTAGTCATTTCATAATTTAGACTTAAATTTTAGCACATGAACCTTTTTTGCATATTATGTAATTATTTAATAATTATTTCAAATTATGGTCAATAAACACAATCAATATTGAAGGGTGTCAAATTATTTGATTCACTAAAAAAAATTAGTTGTTTTAATGAGGACTATAACTTTACACAGTTCTTTGAACATGATCATGGTTATTTTTTACTTAACAACTACTTTTATTATTTTAGGATAGAACAAGTCATATTTTGACAAAAAGGAATGATCCTTCTATTCTTGCATGGCTCATGTTTGCTCTTATTTTACATAATTTTTCATATTTTTAGCTTTTACTTATTTTATACAGTTATGTGTTTTCATATGTAAATATTGGAGCTTATATTTAACATTTTTTCCACAAATAAGTCTGTTTTTTATATTAATCTCATTTTGAATCATTATACACCATGCTGTATCAACATTTAGCAAAACATGCTGCAACATATGTAGACATACATATAGCTCTAAAAAATGGAAATGATAGAGAGAGTGTTTGCAAAGGATTAAAAGAAATGTTTTCAAGCTTTCTGCTTCAAAAGTTGAAATTGGTGTTGCTTCTGCTTAAATGAAGCACTTTAAGGCTAAAGGGTAAACGCAGGTCAAGTGGTGCTTTAAATTACATTTCAATTTTTCTATTACACACAAAGTATTTTTTTATCAAACACTACCATCTTTTACTTTTTCATTCCGTACCAACTTTTACTATCAAGCATTTTCTCTAGAATCACTTTAAAAAACACTTTTTTCAAAGTAGAAGCAACTGCAAACCTCCCTTATAGTGCTTATGAAAGAGGTATTTGTGCTGAGGATACAAATTGTTATATACCTTTTCCGGAACTTTGCTGAATACCAATGTCTTAACGATGGGTGAAACAATAAGTTTCTGTGACACCTGACCAAAACTTGCATTAGGCTCTAGAAGATTCGACGGTCCTAGAAACAGAATCTGAAGAACCATCCTTTCCCATCCTGCAACAACAAAATATAATGCCAAAAGTTTGATCTTATTGTCGATCCTTCCTTTTCTCTTGTATTGCGTTTGTCTCAAGAAATCTAACATTACATACGCCGTTAAACTTGCCACTTGTAAGAAGTGGCATAACCATGACCCCATTTTTTCAATTTGGGGCATGCCAGAAAAATAAACACTCATCAATTTTCTACTAGATATTTTACACATCTAGAAAAGATTTTACCCAACTTGGGCTGGGTTGGGACCCAGTTTGCTCCCCCCACTACACCCCTGCTTGTTAGAGACAAAATGTAAGTAGTTCAAAATAATGTCAAAAGTAATTTTATACTCCCTAGTCCCTCCGCCTCCCTAATCTTTGCCCCATTTTACTTTTTTCATCTGTCTCACTAAGTTTATCCCACTAAGTTTGTCTCATACCATATTTCATTGGTTGCAATTCATTCTTACAGTATTCACACTTTACCAATTCAATACAAACCACACAAAACCACTTTCACAATCACATTATTCCCTCATTTCCCAATCTTAGGGGGCAGAGAAAGTTATACCTAAAACCCAAGGGAACCTGAGTGTCCCCAACATACCTCACTTTGTTACATGGATGTAATCTCACATTACTTGGTAATAATAAAATATGAACCAAACATGGTGATTTCACAGTACCTAGGTAATATGAGACCACCTAAACTAAATGCCTCCATAAAATTAAGCACGATGAGCTGCTTGGTAAAAAAGACTTACCTTTCTGGCGATTCATCTTGTTGTCAACAACGGGCTCTTCTGGCACTTGTTTCCCTTTACTAAGGATTTTGACAGCCAAACCATTCTTTGCAGATGCAAGCAGAGACTCCTTGCTTATACATTCGGGAGGAGTCCTAGGAACAAATATTACAGCATCTGTCACTAATAATGTTCTTGAACGCTTATGATAGAACGCCACCTCAACATATGGTCCAATACCTAAAGTAAGAAAGGCAGGTTAGATCATCAAATGCAAATCACTACTAATCAAGGGCACACCTAAGAATAATTTATCGTGAGTGGGTAAAATTTTTGACTGAGTTTGAGCCAATCAAACCTAAACAAATATGCAAGTAACTCGTTTGAAAAGAATTATTTGGCAGAAAGCCAGAAACATAGGAAATGTCTGAGTGTTTGGATCTGCTTATTTTTTTACAGGAGGTCAAAAGCTACTTAGAGTCTGTTTGGTAAGTGTGACGTTGAATGAAATTGTAGAAGTTGCTAAAATGGCTGAAATTGGATACTGATGAAGTTGCTGAAATTGTGAAGTTTAAATGGTCATCTTAAGAAGCTTTAGCCATAGAAGTTTCTCCAACCTTGCATCTTTTCACTAAACCATTTCAAAATGAAGATTCGAATAACTTAATAAATAAAAACCTGGATGATAAGGTTGATAAACCGAAAAAGGTGGCAGAATAAGAAGTGGATACCCAATTTTCTTATTCTGCCAGAATGGCTACCAAACGGTCCCTAAGTATGCAAATTTCGTATATATCATTGAAAATATTAATAATAAAAATTGGATGAACGTTATCTTCTATTAAAAAAACTTGCACCCGTAAAAATTTCTTCAAGCAGAATCCATCTCTGATGCACATTACTTGGATCTAGTTAGAAGAATGCAGTAAGTACCAACTTCTGGAGAACTAAGAACTTTCTGTTCGATCTCATCAGCCCACGGAGTTGAAAGATCTCCATCGTTTAAGATCTTGGCGCCAAATATCCCAAAAAACTCGAGTGGCAGATTTAATGGCCAACTCCATTGCCTTGGTGCTACCCATACTTGAGCCCGAGGAAACTTTCTCGAGAATGGGCCAACGAATATTTTGTGCTCATATGCAAATGTAGGCAACACAATATATTCCACGGGATACCCCAACTCTTTCACAAGCTGCACCAAGGAGCAAAGTATAATCAAATGCTAATATTTTAAATTCCACTAAGACAAGGAAGGGGAAACAGTTGAGGTTCAAAGGATAGAAAACACATCTTAGATTCTTTTTTTAATTTGAATTTCAATAAACCCAAGAAGAAATAAGAGCGGGAGTGTGATTCTCAGCATCAAAACTGAGACTATAATATAGGTAAGTACTTAAATAACTACCTGGATACACTCCTTAGTTGGAGCAATTGGTGCATGAATCCATAAACCGCCCGATTTAAGTTTGATTACAGTCATTCTGATGTTTGTTGAGACACTGCTGAAGCCGAGTGCTTGTTCTTGTTCAAATAACCACATACAGTCTTTAACAGCCTGACATATTAATTATTTAATAACACAAAATGTCTGTCAAAAAAATGATAGGAACCCAATAACAACAGCCCAAATAGAATAAATAAAGGCACTCAGTACATTTCCCTGTTACAACATAAGCGGGTGTTTATTTATGCTATTTGATAGAGTATTAATTCTAGAGAGAAGTGAGAGCTAGAGAGAGAAAGTGAGTAATTATATTTCTCAACCCCCTATAACTAGCCCCAGGGGGTCTATTTATAGGCAAATATGTGGATTTGGGCTCCTAGCCATGGGCTTAGGAGGCCCATTACAATAATCATGCCTTCTTTGGGCGAAATAGGGCCACTAATGGGCCGTGTACAATACTTAGTAAATAAAGTGGAGAGATGCATTCTGCCCGGACGGAATCGGGCCGATGCGGTGCCTTTTGGCCGATGCGGTCTCATGGCCGATGCGGTCCATGGGCCGATGCGGCCCCCCGGGAGTCCAGCTGTGATTCTTGGACTGGCTTGGCTTCTGGCCGATGCGGACCTACTGGCCGAAGGGGCCACGTGGGTGTTCTTCTGGTCGCCGTTGACTTGAGTATGCGGGCCGTGGGGGTCCAGGCCCATATACTCTATCAGGAGTCCCCCACTCTCTGAGCTGAGGTGAAGCCGAAGCGAAAGGGAGTACTTTGTTCCTTTCTGGCTGGCCGTTGTGTGAGCTTGCGGTGCTTGGTGACCGGAGGGGGTCTTCGGTTTTTGAACGAAGCGGTTTCTTTATTCGATGTGGACGTAGCGCGCTTTGAGGATTCATAGCCTTGTGTGGCCGATGCGCTTTCTGTGAGAAATGTTCTTGAGGATGATGAGGTGTGCTCTCTTTGCAGTAGGTGTGATTTATGGAAAAACTTAGCCTGTGTTGTTTACCATTCTGTTGGGGCCGAAGAGATCCCCCACGCGCTTCTTGCTGTCGTGGTGTCAGTCTGATTTTGTCTATGGGGACGATGCGATCCGCATGCTTCTGATCTGTTATGCGGCCGAAGCGCTTCGAATTGTGTATTTCTTACTTTAGTGAGCCGACGCGGTCCCAAAATCTTTTAAATTTTCGGGTTTTATGGTCGATGCGATCCGCAATGTCCTTGAGGTGAATCGTGGCTAATTGGTGAGCCGTAGCGCACTCTTTTGCACTTAAGGCCGTCGCGCTCCCGTTTTATGTTGTTTCCTCTTTTGTAGCCGATACAGTCCCCCAGTCCCCCACTCCTTTGGCCGAAGAATTTTCGAGGCACAAGGGAGTCATGATGTTCTCAAGCCGATACGGTGCTCCATGCGTTAGTCGCGAGTCCGATCCTTAGGCGAACCTGTCCAAGGTAACCCTGTGGGAGAACCCTTGGACGAAGGCCGCAATACCAGGGTCATCATCAAGCGATGTGCGCGTGAATGGCCGTAGCGGTACACGCGGTTCTTGGGGTTGCTTTGGGGCCGTAGCGTGTTTTGCTGATGCGGCCATGTCTTCGGTAAAATTGGGCCGTAGCGGGTTTCTCCTTGTTTTTTGAGTGAGTAGGCCGGTGCCTACCCTAGTCTCAGGGCTTGTTGGGCCGTAGCGGCGGTCTCAAAATGGAATGTGAAAAGGCAAGCGCTGATTGGCTTTGGGAGAGGTGCCGTTGAGGTGACCACTTGGATTTTGCCACGTGTAGTGACCGTTGGAGGGGTGTCTATAAATACCCCTAAACCCCGAGGCGTCAACCCATTTGCGATTTTGCTAAGTAACGAAGTGCTGCCCTTTTGTTTCTAGAGAGAGAAAAGCTCCCGAAGTATCTTCAAGTGTTCATTCATCTTCCCCAGATCTTCAAATCTTCAAGGTTAGGTCCTCAACCTGTTCTTTGTTTTTTCCTTATACTTTGCTTCCTGGGGGGTTAGATCTAGTGTTCGTAGGAAAGTCACTTTGATCCGAAAAACCGCCCTTAGGAATAGGTTTAGGTGTTATGCCGTTTCCTAACGGCCGTAGCGTTCCCTCCCCCATTGATTTGACAGCTTCTTTGGACGAGTCGGATTGGCCCTTTGACGAGGACGATACGTCCCCTGGAGTTGATCTTCGACTGATTGAAGCCTTCGAGATCGAGATGGAGAATACCGCCGACTACCGCACCTCTGTAGATGAGGAGAGAATGAGTGCCGACGCGGGAGCACGTAGTTCTGGTGAGGACGAAGCGACATCTTGCTCGCCTCTGAGGGGGGATGAGGCATCCTCTTCTGCCCACATCCCTTGTCCTCCGCCGATATCGTCAGTAGCGGGGGAAGGCCCCTCGGCTCCTAAGACGAAAAAACCGTATCGGCGGAAGCAGCGTAAGGGAGTACCGCAGGGGTTTTCACAGTTAGATCTCAGCAACTTGTATATTATTCGGCCGGAGGGGACCCTCGGCGAGTATCATGTCGCCCAGTTGTATGTGGGGCCATATGGGAGGGTTCGAGCGCCGAAGCCGACGGATCATGTGCTGAATCCCCCACTGGATTATTTCGGGATTTATCCGATGAGCTTTGCGAAGGGTCTGAGGTTCCCCCTTCATCCCTTCATAACGGAATACTTGAACATGGTGGGCCTCCCTCCGGCGTTGTTGACCCCAAATAGCTATTCTTTGATCGTTGGCTTCCTGATCCGGTGCGCTGAGTTGGGCATCTCGGCGACGATGGGTTTATTTATGAATCTGTATAGGATAGGCCGAGGGAGCCACCAGAATTGCGCCGGTTATGCAGCGCTGCAGCAGGTTCCCAAGAGGAGGACGTTCACAGATCTGCCTTCGTCCATCCATGGTTGGAAGGCGAAGTTTGTTTTTGTTACCCTGGGCCGAGGCGGGTTCTTCCCGTCCGTTGGTCATGACGGCATGTTTGAATTGCACAATCCCCCTTGGAATGCTGAAATAAGTAACCAAGTGGAGGCTTTTATCAAGGGCGGGCCGAGGAGTATAAAGACATATGTGACGGAGTATAAGATGGCCGCCCTTGGCTTCGTGAGGTACTATTGTCCTGGTGATGTGGACGATGGCTTCTGGCCGAAGATCACCGGTTCTTATGAGCAGGCCGATGGGCCCCGTCTTGGTGTTCCCGCTGAAGCCGAAGGTTGTCCTTCAATTATTCACCCTTCTCGTAGCTTTTTTAGTTATTGCTTTACTGATGTTCATTTGTTTTGTGCAGGTTTTGTTATGGACCGCGTATCTTTTATGGCTCGAGCTGCCAAGAAGGCCGATGCGGAGCTTAAGGCTGCCCGAGCTGCCGAGAAAGCAAAGGCCTCTGCTGGCGGTTCTCAAGGAGGGGGCGAGGCCGTTAAGAAGGCTGCTCCCAAGAAGAAGAGAGGAGCCGATGAAGGCCAGCGAACGTTGGCCGAAGCGGGTCTGAAACCACAGGCCCCAAAGAAGCCGAAGAGGGTTCCAACGACTGATGAGGCCGGCGCTCCTTCTTCTCAGGCTGTCGTGGACGTCCAGCCACCGGTGGTCCCTCCCGCGAATGAGCCTCCTTCCTCGGCCGTGGTGGCTTCGGCTTCCCGCGTGCTTCCCTCTACGGCTGCTGCTGCCCGTCTAGAGGAGGCCCTTGCCAAAGGGACGTACGAGGTAACAGTGCGTTACCCTGTGAAGGGCGGTCTTTTTAACGAGACCGTCAGTGGCGACGATGTGCTTGCTCAGGCTATGCCTGAATATGACCGACAGTACCTCAGCCGGCAAGGCAAGCATGTCCATTTGTACGATGGGGGTTTGGACTATGTCGTCCAGGTAATTTCTTTTCCTTGTGATTTCTCCTTTGATTTTTTTTTTTTTGTTTTTCATTTTTTGACTTTGACTTTTCGCTTCGTCCAGGGTGCCCTTATGCTAAGGGAGCAACACTGGAGGCAGGAGGCTGAGATAGAGCGCCTGAAGAAGGTGGAGGAGAAGGCTGTTTCGGCCGATGAGGCCCTCCAGGACTTGAGGGATAAGGCCAAGGCTGCGGAGGATGAGATGAAGCTCCTTCAGCTGCGTCTTGATGAGGCCGAGGCGGCCCAGAAGAAAGCCGATGAGGCTATTGCCGCTGCCGTCCAAAGAGCCGAGGAAGCGGAGCGGCTCAAGGCTGACGCTGAGAAGGCTGCTGAAAAGGCCGTTGCTGTCTTCAAGGCCGAGGGATGGAAGGCCGAAGATCACATCCCCTTCTGCTACGAAGTGGTGGCCGAGAGGCTCACTGATTGGGTGACCAAGGACCCTGCCGGCGAGGACTTCTGGATGAACGAGACGCGGGCCTTCTACAACTGCGGCCAGTACAGGATGCAAAGGCTGATTTATAGGAAGCTTCGTCGTCGCTTCCGGAAGATGAGGCCGAGGGGTTTGAGCCTACCCCGGCGGATGAGAAATCCTGATGAGGATATGAAGCTCCCCCCGTCGGAGAGGCAGCCTCCAATTCTCAGTTCGGACGAGGGGGAAGCGTTGATAGATAGTCTACCCGGGGGGTATCTAATCCGAGGGGTTATTGCGGAAATAACTAGAGAGAAGTCAGAGCAAATAGGAGGAGAGAGAGTCGATTTTATTAAATGAACTCAGCGTGGTTTACAAGGAGAATAAGGGCTGCTATTTATAGCAGCAATAAATGCGATGAGAGGACACGTGTCAGTAATTCAACGGCCGAAGGGTCACATCAGCCGGTTGGCACCGGCAGTGGTACGTCCACCGCATTGAATGCGGTTGGCGGATGTGACGTGGTATTAAATGCGGTGGTTGGCTGTCTCTAAAAGGAATCTTCGATGATTGAGCTAGTTCAGCCGAAGGCTCCCGGTGTAGCCGAGGGGTCCTTGTGCAGCCGAGGGCTCCTTGTGCAGCCGAGGGCTCCTTGTAGCCGAAGGCTTTGTTCAGCCGAAGGCTTCTCTGATGCCGAGGGCTTGATAATGCCGAAGGCTCATGTTTTTCGCCGTTTTCTCCCAGTAGCTTCTTATGCTAGAGAAGGCTATCCTGTGAGTTTTGGAGCCTTCGGCCAAGGAGGCCGAAGGCACCCCAGTGCGTATTCTGGGCTTCTTCGAGGCTTGGGCCGT